GACAACAGCAACTTCAGCACCAAGGGAATGATTTCACCCTCATTGGCCTCAAATTTACTTCTCATGGTGCATCTGCAGGGTTTCCAAGTGAGACCAGGTGAATCCAATGTGCATGCACTTCCCAGCTGTCCACTTGTATTGTTTTCTTCTGTTTGCAGAAAGTAGACACATACTCAGCCTTAGTGAGAGTGTAGGAAGTGTTTTCCGTGAGATGGATACCAGGAAAAAAGGGCAAACATGGGATCCATTAATGTAAAATGTAAAGATTAGCCACAGTGTGTGTGTGTGTGTGTGTGTGTGTGTGTGTGTGTGTGTCTTGAATAGAGTTGGAGTGGGCTTCTATCCACATGCACCTGCACATGCAGGTATTCTCAGGTGCAATAATCAACTGCAGGACCCTAAAGGAAATGAGTCTCCCCCAAACCTCTGAAGAGTTTTTGGGTTCACCCTGTGTCCAATGATTCAGTGCCTCTTGAGCTCCAGGAAAAGGCTCCCTGGTGATGCATGGGATCTTTTCCTGGAGTCTCTTTGTAGAGTTCACTGGGTTTCCTAAGGGCAATTCACTATTTCAAAAGATGGTGAAAGAAGCATGTGGTGTCCCTAAAGGAGAATTCTGAGCCAGGGCACAACCACTTTATACTGAGTTGGATACACTGGTAGGAATATACTGTGTCAGCTCAGATAGAAACCTCCCTGCATGGTGGGGGCTGGGCTGCAGGGGGCGCTCCGGATACACCCAGAGCAGGCTCCCGCCCTAGAGCAGGTGCACAGGAGACTGGGGAGAGGTTCCTCCCAGGGCCTGGGACTTCCTTTAAAAATATCTAAAATAAGTATTTCGCACAGACTGCTGAAGTTTGTATAAATATCTATTCAATTGTGAGCATTTATCAAACCGGGTGTTGTAATGAGAACCACTTTTACAACGGGGATTTCAAACTCTGCTGGATATCTTAGCAGTAAGTCAGGAAGAGATCCTTTTTTATAAATAAGTGCAAGTTTTGGAGCAACACACATTCCCAAATAACTCGTTCACACAGTCAGGTCTACAAATGGTTCAAGTTGCCCTGAGATATTCAAATGTGGGTTCAAAGTGAGGTGCGTGTCCTAGGGGAGCTTGTTCCCCTGTGGGGGAAGCTCTGTCGACACAGAGTTCAGGGATGTGTAGGGGACGCATGGCCTCTAACAGGATTATGGCTTGAACCCTCACCATTTGCTCTTTCTCACACTGGGTCAGGAATTGGGCTATTAAATAGCATCCTTCACGAATATGCAAATAACTGAGATGAATATAGTATCTCTGTGCCCTGAGAGCATCACCCAACAACCACACCCCTCGGGAGCATCCCCTAGTGCACAGCTCCTCACCATGGACTGGACCTGGAGGATCCTCTTCTTGGTGGCAGCAGCAACAGGTCAGGGACTCCCCAGTCCCAGGGTTGAGGAGGAAACCAGGCCAGTCAAGTGAGACTTCACCCACTCCTGTCTCCTCTCCACAGGTGCCCATTCCCGTTGCAGCTGGTGCAGTCTGGGCCTGAGGTGAAGCCACCTGGGGCCACAGTGAAGGTTTCCTATAAGGCTTCTGGTTATACCTTCACCACCTATGGTATGAATTGGGTATGACAGGCCCCTGGACAGGGCCTTGAGTGGATGGGATGGATCATCACCTACACTGGGAACCCAACGTATGCCCAGGGCTTCACAGGACGGTTTGTCTTCTCCATGGACACCTCTGTCAGCACGGCGTATCTTCAGATCAGCAGCCTAAAGGCTGAGGACATGGCCGAGTATTACTGTGCGAATTACACAGTGTGGAAACTCACATCCGGAGAGTTTCAGAAACCCTAAGGAAGGAGGCAGCTGTGCTGAGCTGAGGCAGTGGTGCAGCAGTTTTCTTAACTTCCATATTATCTCATTTTGCACTGAGTTCCACTTTTATATCAGCCAAGAATATGGGATAGAGGGGTGCTCCTAAGTGATTGTTAACTTGCCCATTTTGATGGGTTTTCCAGAAGATGTGAGAAGCCACTTTGTTTGCAAAGCATCCCAAAGCCATGCCCTGCTCCAGAAACACGTGTACCCATTTCCTGGCCTTTGATTAACTGACAAGCTCTCATCAGTGCGCCTGGACTAATTTCACATCAGGTAGAAAAATGTGCTGTAAAGCAAGGTTAGCGTTGTAATAGCAATTCCTACTTAATAACCGTCAACATCGTTGTTGTGTGATCCATCAAATAATTACGTTAATTGAAGGTTCTCAATGGGAGTTTCTAATAAATACAAGGGATGTATAGAAGTTCCCCTAATTAAAATTAAACAATTGTGAAGACAACCTCAATGTTCAACCATATTTCCACCCTTCACACCCTTCACCATAAAGGAAGTTTCATCTCTCCTGGAAGTTGGGTTCATTTTCAAATTAGTTATTTTTTATTTTAATATCTCAAGATTATTGTATGTGATATTTTAGCAGAAAGTGAATTATGGGAACTTGAACTAACCAACTGAAAATACATTCACAACTAATTAATCAAGATGCCAGAATGTGATGGGCTCCAGGCATTTTAAATTCAACAGGCTTTTTAACCAGACTTTAAATTTACACATCTTCCTGTTACCTTCACAGCACAGTCAACTCCCATTATGTAAGAAATCATGAGTGCATTCCCAAGGGTCATGCACAGTTATAAAAATAGACATGGTGAGATGAGGAGTCGATTGTTTAAATTCCCCTCTGAAGAAGCAGCATCAACCCAATGAACCACTCTCTTCCCTCTGTGACTAGAGCTATGTCGCAGACCACATGGACCTAAATCCTTGATGGAGATAACATGACTACATAAATTGGACTGATCGCTTTCATGCTATAAAATTAATAGGTGACTCTGCACTCCAGCCTGGGCAACAGAACAAGTCTTGTCTGTAAAATACAAAGGAAAGATAAATTAATAGATACTGACTGACATTTCAGATATTATTTTCATAAACCGAATTTAATTATACCCACATTGTTACCTACATCTTCATTGAAAAGTTCCTAGTTATGTTGAGTTCCATCAACACTCCACGTGTCCAAATCTGGACATCCAAGAGAGTCTGGAGGATAAAACACAATGAGGACAGTGAACCTGGTGTATATTCAGCACCTCTTAACTCAGGAGGACTCCCTACACCCTGGAACAGTCTGCTTTTCTGAATGGCTCACAATGACTCCGGCTCACTCTCTATCATCCTCAAACATCTGGCCCCTGTTTGCCCTAAGTTCACTCTCTGCTCCCAGTCTCTGCTCTGACGTATTTGCAGAGGTGAAAATGAGCTGTCAGACAGAACTTACTTCTCAACTCAACATGGAATTTACTGTTTCATTTAATGACCACTCTTTCCATGATGGTTGATTTCTTTTGGCCTGTTTATTACTGGTGATTTTCAAGGGAATCTCACTTGAATCTTTACTCTTTTGCATTTTGTCTCCATGACAATGTTGGGAAGTTTTTCCTCTAGCATTATAACATGATCCAGCCACCTGACACATATGTGGCAAAAAATACCTACAAATTCAGAAGTTCTTTGGTTTTCTTTCCACAAAATATAATTGTTGCTCTTCTGTGTATGAGAATATCCTAGCATCCCTGTACACACCCGTGTAGATGTCTACAAGCCTATGAATTTATTCCCTGTAAATAAAAAAAATCTCAATTTCCCTCAATGTTCATAATTCTCCTGAGGGTGAGGAAGGTATTTCTGGATCTGTTCAAACAAATGGCCCAGAGACCACCTGGTAAGTAGGCAAGGAGCTCACTTCGCTCTGGATATTGAGTCTGTCTGTCTCTTTCCCTCTGTCTTCTCACAGAAGGTCAGCCCACTTGTTCAGCTCCTAAGAAGAGAGCTCAGGTTTAGCCGGATTATACAACACACCTAGCTTCTGATGACTCTCCTATTACCACAAATCCATGGAGTAGTTTATTTATTATATAATTCACCAAACTAATGTGAAATGCCCAAGTTGCAATAATGCACACCGTAGGGTATGTTCATGCAATTCAGCGGAAGAGAAAGTCTTTCAGAAACAGATGGATCTGAACTGGTAAATATGTGGGTACGAATTCTGGACTTGAGTGTCCTTGTCCAGCCATGTTTCACAGGTGTGACCTGTCAGGGAAGAACCAGAGTTCCTTGTTCTGTCAGAGGGAAGGGCTTACAGAGCTGCTCTCTGGTTCCTAGGAAAGGTAATTTCACTAATCTTGGTGATGAGACTATCCTTCAGTGCTGATGTACTATAGTGTTTTTATCTGAAGTTGTCATTGCTATCCCCAGTGTACATCTTTTCACACAGAAGTGTTTAGAGGTCAGGGCACATTCTCAGGGTCACACATTGAGAAGGATGGAGATATATCCCACTACCTTCTCCTGAGATCTCACAGAATCTCAAATTTCAAAAGTTCTCAGAAGGGCAGTTATCAGGCGCTATTTAAAAATAACGCACTTCCTGGAACAGGTAGCGTCCCTCTAACCATGATGGATGTTCTGAACTACAGTACACATTGCATGGATCCAGGTCTGTCTCAATTCACTGTGCTTATTACACTCAGCTGTTGTATCAATGTGTCTGAAGAGGTAAATGACAATTTAGATGACCTGGGTGTGTGTTTTGGTTTTATATGAATGTTTAAGGGTAGAACAGTTGACCCTATTCCAAAATCTGTCCCTGATCCGTGATCACACTCATCTCCCAGACCAGCTCCTTCAGCACGTTTCCTACCTGGAAGAAGAGGACTCTGGGCTTGGTGAGGGGAGGCCCCAGGAAGAGAACTGAGTTCTCAGAGGGCACAGCCAACATCCTCCTCCAAGGGTGAACACAAAAGACCGGGGCCTCCCTCATCCCTTTTCACCTCTCCATACAAAGGCACCACCCACATGCAAATCCTCACTTAGGCACTCACAGGAAACCACCAGACATTTCCTTAAATTCAGGGTCCTGCTCACATGGGAAATGCTCTCTGAGAGTCACGGACATCCTGTGCAAGAACATGAAGCACCTGTGGTTCTTCCTCCTCCTGGTGGCAGCTCCCAGATGTGAGTGTCTCGGGGATGCAGATATGACGATATGGGAGGCTGTCTCTGATCCCAGGGCTCACTGTGGGTCTCTCTGTTCACAGGGGTCTTGTCCCAGGTGCAGCTGCAGGAGTCGGGCCCAGGACTGGTGAAGCCTTCGGAGACCCTGTCCCTCACCTGCGCTGTCTCTGGTGGCTCCATCAGCGATGATTACTACTGGAGCTGGATCCGCCAGCCCCCAGGGAAGGGACTGGAGTGGATTGGGTACATCTATGGTAGTGGTGGGGGCACCAACTACAATCCCTCCCTCAAGAATCGAGTCACCATTTCAATAGACACGTCCAAGAACCAGTTCTCCCTGAAGCTGAGCTCTGTGACCGCCGCGGACACGGCCGTGTATTACTGTGCGAGAGACACAGTGAGGGGAGGTGAGTGTGAGCCCAGACACAAACCTCCCTGCAGGGAGGCGGAGGGGGCGGGCGCAGGTGCCGCTCAGGACCAGCAGGGGGCGCGCGGGGCCCACAGAGCAGGAGGCCGGGTCAGGAGCAGGTGCAGGGAGGGCGGGGCTTCCTCATCTGCTCAGTGCTCTCCCTCCTCACCAGCACCTCAGCTGTCCCCAGGGCTCCTCTTTCTTTGATATCTGTGGTTCTGCTTCCTCACATCGTTGTGCCAGGCAAGAAAGGAGGAAGACAATTTTTCTGCTTACTGCTTCGGTTTCACCAATTACTAGGAACTTTCCTACAAGTTCCTGCATGACTCATAAATCCTGCATGACTCATAATGGTAAAATATATATATATATGGATTCTCACCATCTCTTGATTTGTGTCGTCAATCAAATGGTGCCCTATTTGAAATTCATTTACTGAAACCTTAAATCCAATGGATCTATACTGGGATTTTAATGATGTAACCTCTCTCTTTTCGCGTGCACCCAGAGAAGAGGCCGTGTGGAGACCTAGTGCACTAGGAGGTGTCGCTCCGCAAGCCAGGAAGAAGCCACACTAAGAACCAATTTTGCCAGCTCCTTGATCTTCGACATTCAGACTGCAGAATTGTAAGAAAATCAGTATTTGTTGTTTAAGCCACCCACTCCTGTTGTCTTTTACGAAGATCCAAACTGACTAATACCACATAAGTCTGTTCGCTCTGTCTCCTGGAGGGAGAAGCAGCCCCCTGAGGCTGGGCACATCTCTCAGATTTCCACAAGAAGTAGGCAAAAATAGTAGCTCTCATATAAAATTGTGTCATGGCCCTGTTGGCCATTTTTGAGCAAGGTCTCTGAAACCAGCCCTGGTGTGTGTGTGTCACAAATGTTGTCTTTTATCTTTTATTTGGACAGAACAAATACACAAGAGGTACCAGCTGGATGGAGATTGGCCACTGACCATCTTCTGTTGTCTCCTTAGTATGTCACAGAAAACCACACCAACATCACCAGCGTCACTGGTTTTATTTTCTACTACCTCAAATGGACTATAGAAATGATCCCTGCAGTATAGTCTATTTCTTCAAGTTTCTAAATTTGCACTGAATATCTTCCTAAATGGGGAGCTACATGGGGTCTGAGTTTTGTTTCTTTCTTCCCAGTCTTCCCAGTACCAAGGACAGAATAGACTTAAAATAAAATTTGGCTGTCAATGCCCCCAACACCACATCACTTTCTAAAATCCACATCCTGCATCCATCCTTCTCTGGACACCCCTCATCGGGCCACCCAGGAATGGCCAGAAGCTAGTATCAGCTTACAGGCTGAGGCCACGAACTATACACACATGTGATTTCAGTCACACACACTCTACTGCAGGACCACAACTGTGTGCTGAGGAGCTCAGGTACCTGCTGATCTCAGTCATTCTCTAATCAATCACACACCTGTTATTAATGAAGGTCCAGATGGCCCCATCAGCTGCAGAGCAGTGGAGTAAAGCTCATGGGCGGGTCTGTCAGGCAGAAGTCAGACAATGGGATGGGATGGCTGGTCACTTCCATTTTCACTGATGTTCCCAATGAATTTTAATGAAATAAAACAATATTACCTACCAAGGGACAGAAAAGAAGACTGGCTCTTCAAGGTAATTAAGGACCAGGAACTTCATTTGGGGGGATAGTGAAAGACACTTTTAAGTGGAAAGCCCTAAAGCACATACAATAGCTGACGGAGTGGCCACTGTGCAAATGAAGGGTGAGGAGCCGATGGTAGGGTCCGTTCCTCCAAGATGTCCCGGGGTATGTGATGGTTGGACTTCTCATGCATATGAATGTAAAGAGCTGGACTCAGGGAGAAAAAAGGGCCATATCCCATAGGAAAGGAAGGAAAAAAAGCCGATGGGCATCCCTGGAGAGAGCTCATTAGATTTGGTGTGTTTAAGATGAAAATTTCTTCCAAAAATTGTCATGTTCTAACCTAAATGTGAATCTCTTCAATAAATTGAGAATTAACAGGAGAATGGAGCTAGGACTTGAGAGAGGAAACAAATCATGAGAGAGCAGAAAGCAAATCCACAAAAACTGCCACATGACAGAGGCCAGAATGGAGCTGATGCAGCCACTTCATTATTCTGCAGACTTGTTGACCATGTGGAGAAGGGGCTTGAACAAATGGGGACGTTCTCCACCCTTCCGAATCAGCCTCCTTCTTATGCATGAGTAGAAATCATAGTTTGGGGGTGACCTTCCAAATTTTCCTGTCTTTACCTCTTCCCGCAGGGGTAGAATGTCTTTTCCCAACCACAGTGGTTTCTCACCAGTGTCCTCAGCTTCTGGTCCTTTGTACTTACCCTGCAGATTAAGAATTTCTTCTGGATGGAGTTTTCTGGGAATTTTCTGTTTTCTTTAGTTTCACACCCCATAGGACACAGGTTTTATTGGATTTCCCCTGGAGATAGTGGAGGTGGATCCAGGCATTCAGTAGTCCTCGCTGTTCTTCTCTTCCTATCAGCACCACTGGACAGCGGATAAGGGTGTTGACTGTGGATTTTTCAAATTCCTGGGAAAATACTGCAAGGACTAGTAGATTCACACTCTACCACCATTAGCACATGCATCCAAAAAAAAACCTCACTAGATATGTCCAGGTCAGCCTGTTCCTCTCTCAATGCCATCCCGTGGCACCTGCCCTGGGTCCACTAACATGTGGGCCGCAGTCCTCTTGGCTAGTGTCTGTCTCCTCAGATTTCATTCTTCTTGTTTGCTCTGTGAAAGCAACTTAGATATGTTAAAAGGTTTTCTTCTTCATTTATTCACAGTTTTTCAGGTTTGTTGTTAATGAGGTCAGAATGAGATAATAGTTTTCTCATTTTTCACATTTGCACACTGAGTAGCCACTTTCTATATAAAAGTCAGAAACTAAGAGAACAAATCAAATATCCATATCCACTACAGGTGAAGAACGATAAACAATTTGACATATGGTTATGGACCAAAGTACAATGCAGAATTAGAATCAAGGGATCCTCATTCTCATAAAAGCCTGTCTACATTCTCAAATAACTCTGCTGAGTGAAAGTAGCTGAAGAATTAAGAGTGCACTTCATAAACTTCTAATAAACTGCAAAAGGTCCAACTATTCCAAAGCAACAGAGCAGATTTGAAATTTGTGAGAAATGGGTGCTGAAAGTAATTGAGTGGTGACAGGAAATTACAGAGAATTGACAGAAAGATTTAGGGGTTGACTTAATTGTACACAACCTGATTAAAGTTTGCACACATACGTTACCATTTTCCAAATTGTGCAGTGTATATTTGAATTGATTATTAATTGTACTTAAAAAGCAGTAACAAAGAAACAAATGAATAAGTTGATTGAGGAGGAGCAAAAAATAGATGAGTATGAGCACTCGAAACATCCCAGACTCTTGAAAGTACATGTGCTTTAACACCGGTTCTCTCTATAGATTTCAGGCCAACAGCAGAATACAACAAAAGAAAACAGAGACGTCCTGGCAGGGGTAGAATCCTGCAGACCTCACTAGGCATGTCCCACACTGCCCTCGAGTTGTCTCAGGAGAGGAGTCTCCTCTAGTGGTCAGAGGCACAGGCAGAGATAATGGGGCTAACTGTCCAGCTGTGTGACCTTGGACGCATTGTACAAACACACTGTTCTGTGTGTGATTTATCTTTCTTAAAATGTAACATTGACTCTCGCATTAAATGTATTCTACAAATATGTAAAAATGAAGATGATGACTGCTAAATGATTATCAAGGCACAATCATATCAAATTATGTTTTCCTGAGTGATAAGATCACTACCAATCTCCCCCAGGGCACTTTATCTGCTCTGAGCCCTGACCCTCCTCAGGATTCCCACCCCAGAGCTTTCTATACAGTAGGAGACATGCAAATAGGTTTCTCCCTCTGCTGATGAAAGCCCAGTCCGGACCCTGGAGCTCTGGGAGAGAAGCCCCAGCCCTGGGATTCCCAGGGGTTTCCATGTGGTGATCAGGACTAAAGACAGAGGACTCACCATGGAGTTTGGGCTGAGCTGGGTTTTCACTGTTGCTGTTTTAAAAGGTGAACTAGAGAGATGAAGTGCGAGTGAATAAATTTGAGGGAAACAGTGGATATGTCAGGCAGTTTCTGACCAGGATGTCTATGTGTTTGCAGGTGTCCAGTGTGAGGAACAGCTGGTGGAGTCTGGAGAGGACCCAAGACAACATAGGGGGTTCCTGAGACTCTCCTGTGCAACCTCTGGATTAACCTTCAGTAGCTACTGAATGAACTCCATTTCCCAGGCTCCAGGGAAGGGGCTGGAGTGAGTAGTAAATATATAGGATGATGGTAATCAGATATGTTATGCACAATCTTGAAGAGCACATTCACCATCTCCAAAGAAAATGCCAAGAACTCACTCCATTTGCAAATGAACAGTCTGAGAGCAGAGGCACAACTGTGCATTACTGTATGTGAGGCACTAGGTAAGAAGACAGTAGCGTGAACACAGACAAAGAATTTGCTGCAACGATAAAGGAGGAGGCTGGGTTAAAGGGGGCTCGGGGGCTCTCAGAACCCACAGGAAACAGGGGCAACTCTAGGGCAGGTGCAGATGGTCGTCATGGGCTGCTTTCCTTCAGGGTCTGTGGCTTCCTGTACATCCAACAGTTTCCCTGGCAGCCTCTCTACATTTATGTTTCTGTGGCCACCCCTGCGGTCTCTGGACATTCTTATTTGTCCCAAAGGCAGATGTAAGTATTGGAGGCATAAAAATGCACAGGAGGCCAGGGAGGCTGCAGACATTGTTACCCCAGAAGGTCAATCTCACCACTAGTGCTGGAGAAGGGTGAGAGTTTGATGAGGCTGCCCTAAGTACCCTGTAGTCTAAGATGAGTCCAGTGAGGCCACTGGTGCCTCCCACAGCACAGTTGTCCATCAGGGATCTCCCATGTGTCCCAGCAGCAGCCACGCCTCAGTATCTCCACTGTGCACAGCCATTGTCTGGGAGGAGCTCCCCGGATGGCTGTCTTTGGCACACACCAGGTGACGGGTGTCAGAGTGCAGCAGCAGCTGCCTGCCTGGTCTATCGGGCTCCCCGATGTCGGAGGGATGGGAGGTACATTCTCAGGCCCAGCACCGTTTGTGAATTTTTGTATAAAAACCGTGATTTTGCTTCATTTTCTCAGATGACATAGATAATTAAGAAGAGAATCTGCAAAGAAATTGTAATTGTCAACTTTACCCCAGATTTATTGTTTCTTAATTATGTGTAAGATCCAGACATATTATTGCCTTTGTCATGAGAAATTGTTCTGTTTAAACTGAAATTAGTTTTTTTCTCATATTATTTGTTTTCTGCCCAAGTACAGAGATCTCGAGTAAGGTAAGTTGGGTTCTTTCCACACACTAACCCTCACCTCCCCCAGACAAATAGCAGAAACTTTCCTCACTCTGAATCTGTGGGAGGACGTGTTCCTGTACAACTGACAGCCTGCAGAGACCCCCAGGTCCAGCTTCAGTGAGTCAAGTATTTCTCCATGTGGGTGACCTCCACCCCCAGTGACTACTGCTCAGGTCTAATTGTGGGTTAAGAATTAGGACACCCTTTAGGTTATCACATCTCAATCCTATTCTGAAAATCACAATAAACAGAGATAGTTCAATGGCCATTCTCCTGACATAAGTTTATCTTTATTATTTGGTTCCAGGTATGGAGAAAAAATGTGACAATAAATTCGTCTGAATCTAACCTCACAGTCCACTGCATTACTCTAGGAGACCCACAAATTGAACACAAATGAGTTCTTTATTCTCGTAAAAATGTATGTATTTGGGAATTTCAATGTGTTCTCCAGAACCTGTGCATGCCAACAACTGTGTTTCTCAGTGCACTCTTGGCCTGGTGAAGCCCTTACAGACCCTCTCCCTCACCTGTGCCATCTCTGGATTCCCCATCACAACCAGTGCTTCCTGCTGGAGCTGAATCCATCAGCCCCCCAAGGAAGAGATTGGAGTGAATCTGGTGCGTAGGTCATGAGGGAGTGCACAATCCAACCTGCTCCTCAAGAGTCTAGTCACCATCTCCAGATCCATCTCCAAAACCCAGTTCTTCCTACAGCTGAGCTAAGTGAGCCACAAACACGTAGCCATGTATTTTTAACAAAAGACACAGTGAGGAAACCACAGTGTGAGCTCACACCCAATCCTCCCTGTGGGGGTGTACAAGACAGCCGCGGTTACTCAGGACCCCAGGGTTCCTCAGGACCCCAGGGTTCGTCAGGAGACTAAGGGGCAGTCAAGACCATTGTAGATGCTCTCAGATAGCCGGGGGCCCTCAGGGACCATGGAGGAAAACCAGGACACCAAAGGGTGCTCATTACAGCAGGGGGCTCAGGACAATTGTGGAGACTCAGAGCAGGTTCAAGGCTCAGCCTCAGGGCAGGTGCAGCTGGGGTGAAAAGGGGATGGATGAGGGGTTTTGTGACACCATCATATTTCACCACTAGACACACTCCACTACGTCTATTCTAATGCATATGCGTGTTTGTATTATTAGAGCATGATATTTGTATAAATACATAACCTTAGTTAGGTGTCTCAAGTTTTCCTCTTGCTAGGTGTCCATAGCTAGGTACATCAGCCTTGTCCATAAGGACTAATTCCCCTGAATTACTTGAGGACCTCCTAAATTGTGGTCAATTACGTAGGAGTCCTCTCTTTTTCTGCTAAACGTTTTCCCTTCTTCTCTTTCTCTCACACACAAACTTACATACACCCACCCCACAACATATGTAAATCTATAACTTTTATTACCTGATATATTCAATAAACCTGATTAATGAGCAGCTTTTCCAGCTTCGTTGTTTATGTTGTTGTAACAATAAGAACCGTGTGTTTCCCAGCTGTGTACTTCTCTAAGCTGAGTAGCATCTTTGTTGATAATACCCAGAATGAAAAGCAACCCAAATGTCAATCATCAGCTTAATTAGTAAACAAGTTGAGGAAAATTCATACATTGACATACTGCCCACTACTGCCGTCAACTAATGTTGAGTACACTCAACAGCATGGTTAAATTCACAAGTACTTGTGATGAGTAAAATGAGCCAAAGTAACAAAAGTCCGTACATAAGATACAACTTTCATAAATTCTGTAGAACAAAAAGTAATCTAAAGTTACATAAAAATCAGTAGTTCACTGTGAATATTGTAGGAGAAGGGAAGGTCTAGGAAGGAGGAATTACAGTACAAGAGAAAATTTTGAGGGAATTGACTTGTTATCTATGTTGCTAGTGATAATGCCTATGACTCTATTTGTAAAACTGAACACTTCATGTGGAGATTATTATTTTTAAATTTAACTCCATTAAAGATAGTACTAATTATAGCAGGTATAATTTGGTATCAAAAGAATTAGACAGAGATAAATAAAATATATGAAAAGTCAGAGACTCTTGAATATACACATGAATGAACCCTGGGCATCTCTGTATTTTTAGAGAAATACTAGAATACAGAAAAATAATGGCATAATTTTATGTCACTAAGAAAATTTATCAAACTCCACCAGTTATGTGGTATTAGTTCATTTTCACAGTGGTATAAAGAACTACATTAGATTGAGTAGTTTACAAGGAAAATAGGTTTAATTGGCTTACATTTCTTCATGGCTGGGCAGGCCACAGGAAACTTACAATCATGGTGGCAGGTGAAGGGGAAGCAAGGCACATCTCCCAGGGCAGCAGGAGAGAGGGAGAGGGGAAGTGACACACACTTTTAAACCATCAGCGGTTGTTAGAACTCACTCACTATCATGAGAATAACATGGGGAAACTGGACCCATGATCCAATCACCTCTCACCTGGTCCCTCTCCTGACATGTGGGGATTACAATTTGAGATGATACTTAAATGGGGATATGCAATCAATCTATATCACATGCCCAGCTCTGTCCTAGAGCTGTTTCAGGAATCCAGTGTGTCCTGTTGATAGAAACAGTGACAACAAGCTCACACCATCAGTTGTAGTTGACACCAGGAAAAGCAAAGAGATCACAGCTAAGATTTAGTTTGAATGTCGTGTCTGATGAAGCCACACACTCAGAGCAAGTGAATATGGAATGTTTATCATTTGCACTCTATGGGTGTCTGGGGAGTGCAGGGCAAGTTTCCCAGGAAAATCTAAAACAGCTTGAAAGAAGAGGAAAGGAGACCGGCTCAGCGTTTTTATAATGGTTTGGTCCTGGGAGCAGAGTGAATGTTCCCAGTCACGGAAAGGGGTTTTTAGGGTTTGAAACTCCCACTGGCATTGAATGAAGATGATCCTGTTATTCCAAACTAAATTCACCTTGTGTGGCAAAAAAGGAGAAGATGGAGGAGTAAGACTTAATTCATCAGCAGTCATGCACCAAAAAATAGTGTGACAACTTATTCTATGTAGCAGGAATAAAAATAATAAGAAAGATAAGCGTTCAGTATGGGTGGACAGCACCTGGGTCTACAGAAATGAGATGACTTTAGAAATATAACCAAAGAATAATGAGAAAAAGAAGGAGGGGATGGGGAATTAGTCAAAGTCTTGGTCTAATGTCTTGAATAGAAGCTTCTCACAATCAAGGACTATCAGCTTATTTTGCAGGTCTTAGGTCAGCCGTCTGCTTAAAAACATCAGAAACGCCAGAGAACCTATGAAGGTGCTTAGTTTAATATTTCCTATTTGAGTAGCTTTACAGTTGTGTGGAATTCTTAATTGCTTCTTTTTTTGTTTGTTTTAGAGACAGGCTCTCACTCTGTCATGCAGTTTAAAGTGCAGTGGTGTGATCAGAGCTCGCTGTAATTTTGAACTCCTGACTCACATATTCCTCCCATCTTAACCTCCTGAATATCTAGAACTAGAGGGGCAGGCCACCCTCCCCTCCTTATTTTTATTTTATTTTTTCAAAGAAAAGGAACTCTTTATGTTGCCCAGGCTGGTTTTGATTGCCTGGTCTCATGGGATTTCCCTCACTTTGCTCCTGAAAGTGGTGTGATTATACGGATGATCCACTGAATCTGGCCTGAACTGATTCTTTAGTTGCAAATGAACCCAGTAATTAACTGCCTGAATGTTTTCTGCAGTGAGTTAGTTAAAAGGATCTGACAAGATTCCTTCCAATATGACTCAAGAGCAGTATTTTCCTCTGATGTTCCTTCCAGTTTTCTTGTTGAAGATCACAAGAGTCTGTGGAAAAGATGTAGTAAAAAGGCCACCTCAAACTCTTCATGGTTGGAGTTTACATCACACATGCAGTACGACAAGGATGATCTCTGGGGGTAAAGTCTATAAACGCATAGGCCTTTTAGCTGCCAAGTCACAGGGTAATAACTGATGCACCCTGAGGATGGACCATGATTCCATAGTGCCAGTGGGAGAACCTTTGGCCAAGGGAGTTTTACATTTTATTACAGATTTGATAATTTTAATATAGAGATGCCATTTTTTAAACATTCCCACAAGATTGTGAGTGGGGTTGATTCTGTCTTATGTGAACAATGACAGTGCCCTCCACGGTTAGATTATGTTATAAGTTATATTATAAGCTAGGTTGAGCTACAATGTTTGGTGTATTAAATCACAATTTTTTTTAGCTTCCTTGTTAGTTTTTTGTTTGTGTGTTAGCATTTGCTTTAAAATTCTATTAATCAGATCTCTAGTAGGTAGAAATTCATCTGAAAGTTTCTTCCATTGTTGTCCATTTTGATAGGATTTCCAGAAGATGTAAGAACCCTCTGTCTTTGCAAAAATATTCCAAAGTTTTGCACCATCTAGAAATATACGTACTTAATTTTAATTTTTAATTTATTAAAAAGTTGTGATAAGTGCAAAGTTTTCTGCCTTCTGAGTTGGTTTCACAACACCCAGAATAATAGATCCTAAATGGAAGTTTGTAATAGTAATACAAATTACTGGTTAATAACCTCTACTTTTATTATTGTGGTATTATGCATCAATATATAATCTTAAATCAATGATCTCCATGGGACTCTTACCTAAATAATATACAAAAGATTTTCCTGATCTTGACATAAAATAGATGTGAACACATTCTTCGTATTCAGCCGTGTCTCCTGTCTATCACATTATGAACCACATGCTAACTTTGACCTTACTTGGGACTTGTTCTAATTTCAAAGTAGTTATTTGTCTTCACGCAGCGAGATAGTTACGTGTGGCCATTTTATCAGAGAGTGATGAGATACAGCATTAACTATTTTCCCTGCGGGCACGTTTAGGCAAGCCCCCTGTGCACAATGACCTTGGTGGGTTGGACATTCTTTGGGGCCTCTCCCCTGTCTGCCTAGGAGAGTTATCTGCCATCTACCTCTATCATTTTCCTCTTTGAAGAAGTGCATCTAACTGCCATTAGAATACAGACAAAGGCCAAGCTTAACTGCTTCCAGCTGATGCGGGATGCTGCTTCGGGAAGATCTCCCTTGGAGGCCTGCCTATGGGACCCCAGTAAAAGGAAGCCATTATCTCAGGCTTCACTTGGATGACCATTTGGAGTTGGATGGCCTGAAGATGAGAAGAGACAAACCGGGTTATTAGAAGGCATGTATCAAAACCAACCAAGGTGATGAGACAGTTTGAATACAACTTCCAAGGCTGCGACACGCCCAGATAACTGGTGGCTGTAGTTGCGCCTGCTGAGATCTGGGCATGGGGCTTGGCTTTTGTCAGCTCCCTTGGCCTTATTTTCCCAAACAAAGAAATCTCCGGGATAGGGGAACCCTGTTTAATCCCATCACCTGGCGTGATTTGCAGGATAATTGCTCAGAATTAAAATATTGATCCAGATTTTTATATTCCCCATGCCTTTGTTTCTTCTGAGCTGCAGCCAGAGATCGTTGGTTGGTTCACAGGAATAAGCAGAGTTAGTCTAAAATGGAGGCACATACTTAAAACAACTGAAGAAATTAGAACTTAAAGATGAGTGTATGATAC